TTATTTTTATTTTCTTTTAATGTAACGCACACAAAATCTCAGTCACTTCTCAGTCCATCAAATATCACATCACAGTTCAACACTCAGCTGGTTACTGGACACTATAGTAAGTTTGATTATTCTGGACTTGAGAAACAAGACTCCCCTGCAGTAATTTCTCTTCAATCAACTGTCCCCTGTTTGCAAGTCTATTAAATCTTTTTTTTTTTTCAGTACGAAAACGGGGTTAATAAAAACTAAGGAGGGAAATGCTGTGAAGTCAGTGGGGCAGGTGTAATATGGGAAGATGCTTTTTATGTGAACTTTTAAAAATACCAATTATGTTTCCTATCCGTGGTGTCCTTTCAAAGCTACTAGAAAGATGCTTTGTCTCAGAGGGTGTTTTCTGTTTATTTCCTGCTCTGCCTTTTTGATTCCCCATGTGGATTATCCATTCCCAGGGCTGTCAGACTGCCAGCAGTTGGTGCCATTTGCAAATACGCACAAAGAGAAGGGAATGCCAAGGGTTCCCTGCTATTTTCTGATGCATTTCCTGTGATGCACTGTGGTAGGACGAGTAAGCGCATTTCTTTTTTTCTCTCTGAGCCGCTGGATGTCACTGCTACCCCAGCCAAAATGAAGGTCAGCAGTAAACCCGAGTTTTTTTCTGCAGTAAAAGATTTGCATAACAAAGATGCCAGGAACAGACCACTGCAGACTCCGAGTCAGCTAGAAGAAAGCTGTTGGAAAAGACATCTACTCCTGCGATCTGTTTACTTGTGTGGACGTTTTCCTTTTTAAAATAAGAAACTCAGAGGAAGGATACACCGTGTTGAGTGATGCAGTCTGTGGTATATAGATACTTCTAAGTGAGTGTGGAGGGAATAAATTGTTAACGGACCGACGCACTGTATTCCTTGCTATGTCATATGTTTTACTAATGTTACTTTTAGATGCTGCCTGCTTGTGAGTGGTTTCCTTTGTCCCACGGAGCTGATTTATGAGGCTGTCCCGCAGAGGTGATGTAGTGTCGCTGGCGCAGAGGTGCAATAGCCACGCGGTAACAGCAGGGGGAGCTGGGGAGCTAGAGAAAATACGGAGGAGAAAATGATCGAGGAATCCTGGCAGGGTTTGGGTTGGAAGGGACCTTAAACATCACCGAGTTCCAACCCCCTGCCATGGGCAGGGACACCTCCCACCAGACCAGGTCGCTCAAAGCCCCATCCAGCCTGGAGCCTGGTCTTGAACACTTCCAGGGATGGGGCATCCACAACTTCTCTGGGCAACCTGTTCCAGTGTCTCACCACCCCCACAGTAAAGAATTTCTTACTAATATCTAACCTAAATCTCCCCTCTTTCAGTTTAAAACCATTACCCCTTGTCCTATCAATACTTAAGGCAGATTTTATGTCGTTTCTAAATGGTTAAACTGTAGAGAATCATCTTTTAGAGAAGAAATGTAGCTATTTTAGTAACCATCCCAAATGGTTTCAAGGACTTAGTAAGATAAGAAAGGGTGTCTGTGACCCTGAGAACATGGTGACCTAAGACAGGGATGCAAGAAATATGGCCATTTTCTGACAAACAGGTAGAAGCAGGGAGATCATTAGTTTTAATGAGCAAGTAAGCAGTTAGAATGTTTTGTTCACATGAAAAGTGAGCCAAAGGACAGGTGAAGAAGATGAAGACTGAGGAAGAAATGACCCCCACTCAAAAGGAGGACCACCAGAAGGCACAACTATGCATGCCCAAAAGCTTATTATAATATGTAAATGAGTCCATTAATGCTTTCTTGGGACTACATCAAATATGTATACCTGTTGTGTATAAATTTAAATTGACAACAGTACTTGGTGTGCACAATAGGAGGAGAGATCCCCTGTGCACCCAGCGCCACAATAAAGAATGCCTGTTTCTGAACTTCACATTGAGTCTTAGAAAGTTTTATCATCTGTCGGTTTGCGGTAACACCATTGCTCCACTCCCTGACAAAGAGTCCCTCCCCGTCTCTCCTGTAGGCCCCCTTTAGGTACCAGAAGGCTGCTATAAGGTCTCCCTGGAGCCTTTTCTTCTCCAGGCTGAACAACCCCAGCTCCCTCAGCCTCTCCTCATAGGAGATGCGCTCCAGCCCTCTCCTATAACGAATAAAGTTAAATCACTGATTCAGTCTAATTCACTCTAATGTTATTTGATCTCTGAATAGGTCAATCCAAATTTAATCTTCTAATTCATCTCAAAAAATATTGTAAAGTTTTTCTTTAAAATATTTCTACTTTCTCTTTTAGGTCCAGCTACTGATTTCTTAGTATTTGAAGTTGTTTAAAGTCTCTCAGTAGCTTCTGTGGGCTTCCTTTTCCACCCACACCTTTCTCTCTTAATGTCATAATTATCAAAACCACATGATAATGCCAACTTAAACTCTGATTTCCAGAAACCTCCTTGCATAAATGGAAATTTCTTCCACTGGCAAGTTGTGTTTGATGATAATGAGAACGCTAAGCAGATACAGTGGAACTGGTGAATAGCTCTGATCATGCCATTTTCTACCAGCCACTCCTCATAATGGATCATTCATTAATTTCAATAAATGTTTTGTATTTGGCCAGAGGAAACGGCATTGACAAACCATACTTGAACATTGGCCTGCACAAGTTCACTAAAAATCAGATATTCCATTTTCATTCCTGCAGTATTATTGCACCCTTTTACTGCCAAAGTGACTGTCTTTTAAAAGTCTTCCAATTTGCCCTAGCACTTAGTTAATGTTTCTGTGATGGATGAGATTTTTACCCTCATTTTCTTGACAACAGTGAAGCACACAGAACAGAGATAATGTCGAAGGCAAATAAATGGGACAAAGAGAGGTTGTTCGAACTCTCTCCATGCTAACAGTGAGCACAGTCGATTCGACTACTCTGCGAACTGCTAACACTAACCATTTTACAAGATTATTTTAAATTGCAAGAAGACCTTATTTTACTGATGAATGCCCTTCCTAATTCCACAGTCCTTACATTCTAAAGCTGCTGAATTTGCCTGAAACTTCCCATTTCCCCTGCTGAATCTTAGCAGCTACTATTGCACCCTCCATCTTCCCATCTCTTACAGAAGCATCACACTGGAACTTTCTGCCTTGGCTCTGGACTTTCTGGAGACACGACTCAGTGCTCTATAAAATAACTTAATTACTTTCAAGATGAGGAAAAAATGTCTTCTAGCTCTTTTTACCACCTGATAATCCAGTGACCTTTCCTCGTTCCCCTTTCTCATTTAGATCCTCCTTAAAATTCAGGTGATTATTCTTCTAGCATCTTCTTTTAGCTTTACCAGTCAATTCAATTTCACTATGGTTTCTAAGAAACCTCGAGCAAGCTTGGGGAGGCCTCCAAATCCCTCCCCGCCCCGCCTCTCCCCCTGCCTTTTTTTTTTTTTTTTTTAACATTTCTTTGAACATTGTAGGGGACGAGATGGAATCTTGATAACACGACTGGCGGATGGGTGACACACTGGTGTCTAACCACTTTCTCTGACTTCAGGTGGGTGCGGGTGGGGGGCACTGTGCATTTATGCTGCATTAATTCTAGCATGGTTTTAATTGTCAGCCTTGACCTAGCAGACAATTACCACGAGAAAGAAGCACTAAGCCCACCCCACTTAATTGCTCACCAGTTCATTTCAACCTTTAGCCCAGCGCTCAGTGGGATTGTTGCCATCTTTGTGAGCAGGGCTTGTTCCTGACCTCACCGGAATAAGGAAGTGCCCAAAGTCCAAGCCCTGGAGCAGGTAAAAGGAGGTGTCAAGAATATGAGGTGACCTGTAATAATGCCTCTGGTGTCAAACTGCCTTCCTTAGCCATGCCTTCCTGCACACAAATATATTTTCATAGTTAGTGAGGCACTGAGGAAAACAGTTTTGCTCTCCATATGAGGGAATGAAGGTGACAGAAGCGTTTCCCTGTGTGAAGAGAGATCATAAGGAACAGAAAAGAAGGAAACAGGTGCAGTGCATGGCAGTTAGAAGCTAAGCTAGACACAGGGTGCACAGAGCTACTGCTGAGGGAAGCTTTGGTCTCCTCTCCGTGCCCTGGGCCTTAGGGCTGTTATCCAGCCTGTATCCCCAGCCCGCATCCTGGAATCCGTGCACAAGCCAGCAGGACTGCTTTCGGTCTGTGCAGGAGAGAGAGGAGCCCCCTTCTCCCTTAATTTGGGAGGACAGGGAGGTGGCCATGCAGAACTCAGCTGGGGCTAGAGAAGCAGGGATGGCCGGCAGGCCGCAGGGGCTCCTCAGCCGGGGCTGTGGCCGCTGCCTGGTGGCCGGGCCTGGCGATGGGAAGGGGCAACCATCTCCACACCTGCTGGCCCACGACTGCCTCAGGTGTGAGCTATGGCGAGCTCACCACATGTGCTTAAAAAACAGCAGTCAGCCCCTCCTGCCTATCCTCCCTGCGCCTCGGAAGAGAGATTTAAAAGCCCTGGGACGTCCTAATACTCAAAATACTTTTCGGGGTCGTTTTAGTTTTGGGGTTTTTTTTTTATTCCTTCGGCTTCTGGCTGTCCAGGTACAGCTCGTCTGTATCTCCAACACCAGGCCGGAGGCGCTGCCCCTGCCATGCCGGCTCTGGCCCCGGGAGGGCCGGACGCGGCGGTGAGGGGCCGGGCGGGCCCAGCCCAGCTCCCTCACCCGGCCCGGGGGCGGGGCCGGGCCGCTTCCCCGGCCTCTTCCGCGGGGCGGGGGACGCCGCCATCTCGACCAGAAAACTAGTCTAAAATAATTAAAAAAATTAAAAAAGAAATAAAAGCTGAAGGTCTTGGTGAGCGGCCACGGGCTTCCCCGCGTTGAGCCGCCGCGGGGGGCAGCCACAGGGAAGGGGCGGCGGGGCCCTGAGGGGCGGCCGTTCCCGCCGCTGGGGCGGGGGCCGCTGGGGCTCCCAGCCTCCGCCCGGCTCGGGGATCCTGGCGGGGCGCAGGGCCTTCCCCGCCGGCTCGGGGGACGGCTGCGGGGGGTCACAGCGAGCGAGCGAAGCCGCCCGGAGGGCTGGTGTTCCGGAGGGAGGGCTGGGCCTCCTGCGCGTCCCCTTTGTGTGGAGCACGGCTGCGTGCGGGCAGCGGGCGGGGCCGGAGGGGCGGGCGGGCATTTCCGCGCTGCCTCAGCCCCCGGCAGCAGCAGGGAGAGGAGCGGTGGGGCGGCTCGGTTCGGCGGAGAGGGAACCCTACCGCTGAGTGGCCGGTCTGCGCTGAGGCGGGGAAGGTCCGGGAGTGGCCGCGTCCATGGACTAGCCGAGGCCGTGGAGGGACTCCCGAGTACGGCGATCGCTACCTCGCCCTCCTCGCAACTTGGCCAAACTTCGCGAGCAGGCTGCTGGCCCCGGTGAGTCCCGACCCGACCCGCCGCCGGCCCGGGTGTCCCCCTCAGCCGCCCGACCACGGGGTCGCGCCGCGTCCCCGCCGCACGGAATGCCCTTCTCTCCCCTCTCCGTCTTTAAGCACCGGCATTTCCCCCCCCACAGCCCCGGGGCACGGCTCTTCTCTGCAACATCTCCTTGGGGGCTGGCAGCCATTGAACCGGGCGGGGAGCAGGCGCTGCCCCGGCTGCCCTCCCTCGGCGGGGCCGGGCGGCAGCCCTCAGACTTCCCAAGTTTCCCGAAAACATGGGGCTATGGCGAGGCTCTGCCATTGTCCTTACCCATTAAAGGAAGCCGCAGGGGCCGGGCGAGGCTTCCTCCGGGAGTTCGCGCGAAGTTGTTCGGTTGAGTGAGGTGCTACAAGGGAGGAAAATATACACGTATATTTATTATTTTTTTTGGTAGTAGTAGTAGAAAGGGCTTTCGGGCTGTTGCAGGCGCAGGGCGGCATTTGCTTGCTCTGTACTCTGCTGTGGCACCGGCTGCTGCCTGCCCTCAGCCCCGGCCTCGCTGTTGGCAGAACTACCTGCCCCGTCTGTGCGAGGACTGAGGCCTGTAACTCTTGTTTTAATTGTAACGTTAATTACCTGTAACACGTGTTAGCGAGGGACCTCTCTGACGCCCTTTTTGGCTTCCCGCTGAAGCAGGCCCAGCCGATTCACCTCAGGTGACGCCGTGCTCAGTGTCCGGGCCTCTCCGGGCTCCTGTGGGGTCCCAGGATGGGTGTTTGGATAATTAACGCATCACCACTTCACATTTGATCATTTACTTTCTACCTGGTTGTCTTTGTAGTTTCAGTTGAATGATTAATTTCTGGTCTGTGACCACTACAGAGCACTGCTGTGAAGATGCTACATACAGACCTTATGAGGAGAATTCAAGTAATATGTATTATGCCCAGGTTATGTGGGGAAAGTGGTATTTTCCCCTTTGTCAAGTGTTGGGTTTTTTGTTGTTGTTGTTTGTTTGTTTGTTTTGTTTGGTTTTTTTTAGGGGAGGAAAAGCCCTTGTGCATTTCTAGGGAAAGAGTTTAATCTAAGCTAGAAGAGGTTTGGAGTTATTCAGGACCCATGGTGTTACACCTTTACACCTGCCTAACTTCTATACTGTTGTTTTTTTTTTTTGGTGTAGAACAAACCACAACTTTCTGCTTTCAGAGTGTCTGCATAAGGCTGTTAAGCTTACGTCTGACTTTACCACCAAGTCTACACTGAGTGTGTGAGGTATTGTTGTGATAAAAAAAAAAAAGCTGCAAAAACAGGATACTTGTGTTGGGTTTTCCCTTCCTTAGTAGGTGTCAAAGGTGATGGTGGAGGGAAGATATTTTAAGATAACAGGCAGGATACAATTTTTCCAGTACTGCTGCCTTTTTTTTTAATGGGGACATAAAGCTTGTGACCTAGAGCTCTGGATAAAATCAAAGGAAACCAGCTCAAATAGAGGGTATATATTGTTCATAAATGCTCAGTGGGATAGCTTTCTGGCTATGTCCATGAGTAAGTTAGGCATCGGTGTCCACATGCTTTTATGACTTCCTGAGCCGCTTTATACTTTCAACAAATGTGTGAAACTTCAAATGCTTGGGTGGGGATGGCTGTGATGCTACCGTTACCTGCTGGACAGAGGGTTGTGTGGGGAGAGAAGGGGTCAGGTGGGAATTCAGGTCTAGTCATTGGTGTGAAGTAGGAATGAGCTGGGGGGGAAATACCTTGCAGCTTTTGTTTTTTTGGTTGTTTAAAATAAACAAATCCAGGACACCTATGGTGTTCTTTATCTTCTGGCTAATGATGCTGGAAGAAGGTACTCTTAAGGTGTGATGTATGTTCTTCTATCTCTGTTATAATGGGGTGGGGAGGGAAGAACATTGTGATGTTACCTGTCCTTAAAAGACTTTCATGTTCAAAATTACAATGTCACTGAAACAGCAGGTTTTGGAAATAGCTTCCCAAAAGTTTGGAAATGTATTTATAATAGTGTTGAACAACAATGTGCAAGTAAGTTATGTGGTTGGCATTTTGCGTTGTTTTGTTGATCTCATTCATAGATGGACTTGCTAAAGGTGAGGTCTAGAACTAAATCAAAAATCAGTGAAAGTTGCTCTTCTCTGTGTGGTTTATGCTCTGTATGACTTCTATTTATTGTAAATTAATCCAGTTAGCTTCCTCTGTGTCAAAGTGATATCTCCAGTCCCCAGGTAAGAAGACCAATTCAGAAGAAACCTCACTTGAGTTTTGACTCTTATTCTTGTATCTGGGTATAGGCTTTTTCTGACATTTAAAGCCTCTTTCCTCTCCTCCCTGCCCCCTTGGGAGGGGAAGGTGGGAGAACAGAAAAGAAAGAAAAAAAATATCTTTTGTTAGGACCAATATCTGTGCAAGAGCCTTCATATAGGTAACGTACCTGACAGATCTGAAATAGGATATGTTCTGGGCTACTTTTGGCTAACTTTAGGCCTCTGAGCCCTAAAATGCTATCCAATTGGGGCACTTTCTTTGGTATTGAACTTTTTACTTTTACATGTAGCAAGAAAGTTGTGTGTTACGAATTTGGTCATGTCTGGATGCAAATGTATAGATGATCTGGATGAGGAGGTTTAAGTTGTAGGCTAACTTCTAATGAATAACTTGAGGAGTATGCTTTTGATCCCTTATTGTCTGGAGGCTGACCTCTGATTTTTCTTAAAGGGTAGTTACATTTACAAAGCTTCGGTGTGCGGCTACCAGTTGGCCATTGCCTGTAAATGGAGGTTTGACAGGGGTGAAAGTGGGGAGGGGGATTTTTCTGCTGACAAACGCCTACAATTAATTTTCATAGTCTTCTATCAAGTTTCCCATTGTGTATTAGGTGTGGCACAGTTTCAGCGCTACTGAGCATGAATAAATTAAACTCTTTTTCTAATCTCACTGCATGAGATTAGAAATCTCATTGAGGTGTGTGTGTGGGAAAGCACAGTTCACAGAGCTATTGTAAAAACTGTTCCTACAGATCCTCCCTTTATTTTGTTTTCTGCTTTTACCAAAAAAAAATTCCACTTGGGTGGAGTATGGTAAAATATGTGGGTTTCAGACACCAGACAAAGGAGACGTTTATGCCTCAATCACATGTGAATTGAGAATGTTTTTACTTGTGGGCTTGGTGCCATGCTGCTTTGCACTGTGCCTTCCTGGGTCGAAACTTCCTGTTTCTGGTAGAACAGACTCCTGTACTTTGGCAAAATCCATGAGCATGTTATGATTTTCATGTTGCTTTAAGCTGAAGTACCTCAGATAAACTAAATCAAACCCTCAAACAAGAATTTTCTTTACTTTGGAGTAGGTGTGGCAGAGTGTTGCTAAGAGGGAATTAAGAAATGGTCAATTTCCAGGTAACTTCTGATTGTACATCCAAAGGATAGTCATGTGTCTTCCTCATTAGTATTGCACAGTCCTAAAATCAATGGCTCTTCCAGAGCTGTAGTCTTGGTAGCTGGTGTGAGGGTAGTGACGCAGCCATCCAGCCCTGAGGGCAGCTTGGGTGCTTGGGTAGGAACAGGGTCCTTCTCCTTGACCCTTTGGCTTGTGCTCAGCTAAAAGCATTGGATAAAGGAAAGGTTAAGAGCAATGTTGGAGATGATCGGAGTATAGCTCATCAAGGTTAGATATGTGTGGATTTTAAAGTTTGATAGTTTGGGTCCCTGTAAAAAGGCTGAGATCTGGTTTTAATCTAGCAATCAAAATAAGAGGTGGAACAAACCGAAGCATCTGGCTTCAGATGACTTAATTTTGAAAACAGCCACAATTTAATTACTTAAATATAGTTGAACGTCTTGTATTTGAATTTTTTGCATTGTAAAACAGCTTCGCTTTATTCTGGATGACTGAACAAAACTTGTTTTCACTATCGTCAGTGAGCTGAAAAGTGATTGTTGGGTAAATTCTTCATTTTAGGCATGTCACCAGTGAGAATTACAGTACAGGATTTAACCTGCAGAAAATGGTGATCCTCAAATATTGACAGGAGAAGGGATTGCAGTGTTTGCAGTTGAAACCACTGAATGGCCAGGCTTTTGCTGACCTTCTTTACTGATCTGTCATAAATCTTGGCATTGAAGCCCTTTGAGAGAGAAGTATCATTCTGCTTGATTATTCACACTTGAATTCTGTTATCGCTCATGCAAAAAACTTTTAGCAAACAAAAATAAAATATGTAGATTGTGAGAAGAACTTTATCCAAACCCAGGGCGCTTAGCAGGGTTTAAAACTAAGTTTGTTTTCCTTTCTAGTTCAAAGTGTGCATCAGCCCCCATTTGGAAGGGGGGGACCAGCACTTGTTTTGCCTCAGTGTTTCCTGTCTGCCTTTTCAGGACCAAAGCAATGTTGTTTTATCCCTTTCCTTGTAGCTCATATGTGATATGTGTAAGTCAATGAACTTCTGTTCTTATCCAGAGTGCCTGCCTACATGTGTTTTTTCTGAGAGCTGTTTCTGTGTCTTTATCTTTAGAAGTCTGTGCAAAAGCTGAAAAACCTAGGGCTGTCTTCATCCTTAATTTGAACCTGAAGGTGAAAGGCAAGGGCGTAACAAACATACGGCTTTGCTTCCTCTTGGTCTCTGCAGTAAGTGTTGTTGAATTTTGTCCTGGTAATACAAAGGAGCTTTTCTGTTTTATACTTCCAGTCTAGAGAGTAGGCATTTATAAGAAATTGATAAAGGTCTTCCATGTGAAGACATGTGCTGAAGGCCCCCAGTGTAGTTGGGGCTTGCTGAACTTGTGTTTGCATATGAGCTCTTGGCTGTTGGTTGTTTTGTTTTGGTTTTTTTTTTTGTGCGTTGTTTTATTTTGGCTTTTTCATTCTGTTTCAGACAGGTTGCTACTGTACAAAACCAAATTTGTTCATGTGGCCCAACAGCCCTTTCCAGAAATCTTTTTTCCTGCTATAAAGGTTTTTGTTTCCTGTTCAAAGACTAAATCATTGATACCTGAGTCTCT